TAGTAAGTGCTTAATAAATGTTTGTTGCCTTGACAACTCCCTCCATACAGTATTGCTTCATGTACACAGAATCATAATGAGCCAGTCTCAAACACTGGCAATGATGGCAATCTTTCTGACCACTTAAATACTCTCTCTACATGACATTCTGCAGTCAAAGGCAGAAATGCAAGTTTGTAACACTAGTGCAACAACTTAAGCTGCTCCATTACCGCTTTCTTGTTTGGCTGCATTGTCTTCCCCGCTGTGCTAACAACTACAGAAGTCCAAAATGCTGAGTAGACATAAAGTAAGGAAAAGAATAGAGTTAGGGCAGATTACCCCGATACAGATTCATTTTTGGTGAAGAAATATGCTTTTGTTCTGGGGTGGTTAAAAAGATGCAAAATGAATATTATCATTTTAACACCAAAGATAGCTGGCAGACTCAAACTTAGGTAGGTCATTCTGGCTTTGCCATAAGGTCCCGACATTAACGGACCATGCTTCCTGTAAATATTAGTCCTCCCATCCATCTAATGCACTCTCCCAGTGGTAGTTCTCCCTCCCTTTCATGTAGCCTGTCACCTGCTTCATCTCCTTTGCTCAGCTCTCCATACCTTCTCCTCAGGGTTGACAGGGGAAGGTCAGGATATCAGCAGCAGCATGGACTGGCAGCAAGGGATAGGCTTTTCTAGGAGACCACCAGCCCCTGTCCCAGAGTAACCACACCTGAATTGTCCCTTCCAACTACCCCAGAAATGAGATCAACTGAATTTGTCTGGCTATGAGGATTCCTAGTTATGTCTCCACCTCTTCATGGTAGCTAATAGCATTTACTTTGTGCTTTAAAATTTATGAAATGCTTTACAAATATTATTGTATTTTCTTCTCACAACAACTCTGGGTGGGAGGTAAGTCTTATTATCCTTATTTTACAGGTGAGAAAACTAATGCTGACAGAAGTGAAGTAACTTATCCAAGGTCACATAACTATTAAGTTCATAAAAGCTGAATTTGAAGTCAGGTCATTGTGACCCCAGGCCCAACACTCTATCCACCATGTCACCCTGCTGCCTGTCGGTATAATTTTGGTAATGACATATTTTTAAGTTCTGATCAAAAGTTATTGAGTATAGAAATTCACACTTTGCTACCCTAAGTGTATTAAATGAAAACTGATTTATGATATTTCTTAGTAATACATTATCAAAAGAAAAATTATTTAATTAAGCAAACTTTTTGCCATTCATGACTGCTATCACTTAACAAGTAGTTTACTCTTTGGGTGCCATTCATCTGAGTTTCATTTTTATAAATATCCATGTTAGATTTGAATAGAGATTGTATTCAGAAGATCACACACTTTTTTTTTTTTGCTACAAATCAAACAAAACTGAAAGACAAATGGTCTTAATGAAACAACTTTCCTTTGGAAAACTCAAAGCTAGTCATCCTAATTCATTGAGTATGAACTCCTAGGCTATTCTAAATGGGTTTAATCAGGCTGTACCAAATGACTGATCGAAACCATGTTGGACAGGAAGTTATCCACCAGGATATATTTTGAAAGTTTGTTAACTCAAACTCTACTGAATTGGAATTTGAAATAACTAATTTGGACAGAAGTTGGGTCAAACATTGCCCTTTATACCCCAATCCAATCCAAGAATCATTTAGTATGCCCCTACCACATACATGGATCTGTGTTAGACACTATCGGATTTAAAGAAAACTCAAGGAATAATAGACTCTTTATTCATGCTACAGATGAATATAAGGAGCAAGATGACTGGAGAATATGTAAATTAATTGGAGCTATTTTAAAACACAAATACTTCAGAGGCAGTCATGCAAAACAACTGAGATTTTACTTAAGGATATTTCTGATCTATTCATTAAAGCAAATCCCCCAAGGGCCTCCACTAAGCAACCCTTTGTTATCCAAGTTCTAGTGTCTACATATACTTGAAAGTTATCAACTTGAATTTTAAATAATAGTTTATAACTTCAAACTTTTCCTGGATTTAGACTGAGCTCCTCTCCCCACCCTGAGCTATTTGTTTTTTTTTTTTAATTTTTTAAATTTTATTTTTTTCCTATTGTTAATAAAATTCACTTTATTGAAATTTAGAATACACATGAATCCAAGGTTAAGCCTAGGGAGGGAGAAGTAACAGTTGACAAAAAAAAAATGTGTCTCTTTGAGGCAGGTGGTTCTCTGAATACAAGCCATTTACTAATATTATATAGCATAGTCAAGAGAAATAAAGTTACACAGCAGCCATGTTCAAAAAATGTGTATCTCTTTCTGCATTTCTTCTTTTTTTGAGACTTTTTTTATTAATAAATTTATTTATTTTTCGTTTTCAACATTTACTTCCACAAGATTTTGAGTTCCAAATTCTCACCCCATCTCACCCCTCCCCCCACCCCAAGATGGCATGCATTCTGAATACCCCTTCCCCTAGTCTGCTTTCTCTGCTATCTCTCCCCCTCCTTCTATTATCCCCTTCCTCTTCTATTTTCCTGTAGGGCAGGATAGATTTCTGTACCCCATTTCCTGTATTTCTTATTTCCCAGTTGCATGTGAAAACATTTTTTTAAACATGTGCTTTTAAAACTTTGGGTTCCAAATTTTCTCCCTTCCTCCCTCCCCACCCACCCTCATTGAAAAGGTAAGCAACTTAATATAGGTTATACATGTGCAGCTATGCAAAACACTTCCATTGTAGACATGCTGTAAAAAACTAACTCTATTTCCCTTAATCCTATCCTGCCCCCCCATTTATTCTATTGTTTATTTTGACCCTGTCCCTCCTCAGAAGTATTTGCTTCTGATTACTCCCTTTCTCAATCTGCCCTCCTCTCTATCATCCCCCTACTCTCTTCCTCCCCTCCCCCCCATTTTCCTGTAGGGTAAGACAGATTTCCATACCCAATTGAGTGTGTATGTTATTCCCTCCTTAAGTCAAATCCTATGAGAATAAGATTCACTCATTCCCTCTCACCTTCCACCTTTTCTCCTCCACTGTAAGAGCCTTTTCTTTTCTATTTTTTTTGTGAGATAATTTACCCCATTCTACCTCTCCCTTTCTCCCTCTCCTAGTATAATCCTCTCTCACCCCTTAATTTTATTCTCCAGATATGACCCCTTCATCTTCAACTCACCCTGTGCCCTCTATCTATCTATCTATCTATCTATCTATCTATCTATCTATCTATCTATTTATATATATCTATCTATCTATATATCTATATACACATACATATAATTTTTTCCCTCCAACTACCCTAATACTGACAAAGGTCTCATGAGTTACAAATATCATCTTTCCATGCAGGAATGTAAACAGTTCAACCTTAATAAGTCTCTTATGATTTCTCTTTCCTGTTTACCTCTTCATATTCCACTTGAGTCTTGTATTGGAAAGTCACATTTTCTACTCAGCTCTGGTCTTTTCATCAAGAATGCTTGAAAGTGCTTTATTTCACTGAATGACCATTTTTTCCCCTGAAGGATTATACTCAGTTTTGCTGGGTAGGCGATTCTTGGTTGTAATCCTATCTCCTTTGCCCTCTGGAATATTATATTCCATGCCCTGCGGTCCCTTAATGTAGAAGCTGCTAAATCTTGTGTTATCCTGATTGTGTTTCCACAATTCTTGAATTGTTTCTTTCTGGCTGCTTGTAATATTTTTTCCCTTGACCTGGGAACTCTGGCATTTGGCTACAATATTCCTAGGAGTTTTCCTTTGAGGATCTCTTTCAGGAGGAGATCCGTGGATTCTTTCAATCTCTATTTTTCCCTCTGATTCTAAAATATTAGGGCAGTTTTCCTTGATAATTTCTTGAAAGATGATGTCTAGGCTCTTTTTTTGATCATGGCTTTCAGATAGTCCAATAATTTTTAAATTCTCTCTCCTGGATCTGTTTTCCAGGTCAGTTGTTTTTCCAATGAGATATTTCACATTGTTTTCTAATTTTTCATTCTTTTGGATTTGTTTTACAGTGTCTTGATTTCTCATAAAGTCACTAGCTTCCAATTGCTCTATTCTAATTTTTAAGGAAGTATTTTCTTCAGTAATCTTTTGGACTTCCTTTTCCATTTGGCCAATTTTTCTTTTTAGGGCATTCTTCTCCTCATTGGCTTTTTGGACCTCTTTTGCCATTTGGGTTAGGCTATATTTAAGGTGTTATTTTCTTCAGTATTTTTTTGGGGCCTCCTTTAGCAAGCTGTTGACTTGTTTTTCATGATTTTCTTGCATCTCTCTCATTTATTTTCCCAGTTTTTCCTCTACTTCTCTTACTTGCTTCTCAAAATCCCTTTTGAGCTCTTCCAAGGCCTGGGACCAATTCAAATTTTTCTTGGAGGCTTTGGATGTAGGAGCTTTGACTTTGTTGCTTCTTCTGGTTGTATGTTTTGATCTTCTTTGTCACCAAAGTAAGATAATACAGTCTGACTCTTTTTGCACTGCTTACTTATGATCCTGACCAATTACTTGAGTTTTAAACTCTTTGTTAAGGTAAGAGTCTGCTTCCAATGTGAAGAATGTATTGTCCCAAGCTTCAGGGGTGTACAACTGTTTTCAGAGGTACTTCTAGGGACCTGTAAATTTTCAGTTCTTCTAAGGTGGTATGATAAGGGGTGGGGTGTGTCCTCTCCACAGCCACAACAAGCTCCCCCATGCCAGTGCTCCTCCTTGCCCCAGGACCACCCCTCAGAACTGTGACCCAGATCCAAGCAAGGGCAAAACAAGAGATTCCTGCCTTAGCACTGGCAAAGAGATCCCTGCAATTCCCCTCTGATCAGTAACTTGATTCCCCCTTAGTCTGCAGCTCAGGAGGCAGCTGCTGCCCCAGACCACGATCAGGACTTGCGGCTGAGACCTAGCTCCTTCTCTCACCACAGTCACATACTTTTCCCACTGACCTTCTAAGTTGTCTTTGGTGTTCGTGGGTTGAGAAGTCTGGAAACCACCACAGCTGCCCATGATTCAGTCCTCTGAGGCCTGTTTCAGGTTCGCTGCAGCCTGCTCGCCCTCGCTGAGCTGCATTTCTCTCCCCACCCAGCGTGATATACCTTTCTGATCAACCATCCAGGTTGTCTTGTGCTGGAAATTTGTTTCACTCTGTCTTTTTGTGGGTTCTGCTGCTTTAAAATTTGTTTAGAGCCATTTTTTACAGGTATTTGGAGGGGGTTAGGGGAGAACTCAAGCAAGTCACTGCTTTCACTCTGCCATCTTGGTTCTACCCACCCTGAGCTATTTGAAATCAATTGGGTTTTATTAAAATGTTTCTGGAACACGGGGTAAATTATGTTTTTGTTATTTGAAATATTGCCTGTATTTAGAGCAATGAGTAAATGATAGGTCTAGACCCCCATTACCCAAATGTGTTCATTGAGGTATCTGGCTTAAATACCCTTAATACATATTTGTTTCTTACACATTGCTCCAGACAACATTTCATGATGGTCCTAATAGGAGGGCTGGTTAGCACTTATATGGCACTTTCAGGTTTAAAAAGGACTTTCCAAATATTATCCCATTTGACCCTTACAATAAGCCTAAGAGGTAGGTGCTCTTATTATCTCCATTTTATAGATAAGGAAACTGAGGAAAACAGAAGTTGAGTGATTTACCAAGAGCCACATAGCTAGTAAGTGTCTGAGGCTGGATTTGAACTCAGGCTTTCCAAACTCCAACTCCCACACTATAGTCATTGTACCACCCAGTTGCCTCAATGAATGAAAATATAAGTATATAAATGGAACAGATGTGGAAGCCACTAACAAATTATGAACTAATATTTATACTTTAAAAACCAAAAGATATTTTCTCTACTTTTGTGTTTTCTTATTTGAAAGAAATTTAATTAATTCTTAGAAAAGGAGATGCTGGGGCAGCTAGGTGGTGCAGTGGATAGAGCACTGCCCTGAAGTCAGGAGGACCTCAGTTCAAATCCAATCTCAGACCAAACACTTGACACTTATTAGCTGTGTGACCCTGGGCAAGTCACTTAACCCCAATTGCCTAAAAATTAAAAAAAAATTAAAAAAAGAAAAGGAGGTGTTATCAAAGTAATCTATACAGGTAATCATTTATTCTCTCTCTCTCAATAATTATGGACACTGATGGGAAGAAGCCTCAGAGGAGAGGTAGCATGGTTTTACTGGAGTCAGGAAGATTTGGGTTCAAACCTAACCTCAGACCTCATACACTTATTAGCTGTGTCACTGTGGATAAGTCACTTGCCTTTTCTTATCCACAGTACCTGGCACAGAACAGGTGCTAAATAAATGCTTACTCATTGATTGATTAATTGACCTTAGTGAAAATTAGTTTAGAATTATTTCTCTGAAACAGTTGGTGACATTGGGGGATTGGGGGTGGTGGTGGGTAGAATCCTGAAATTTCTTCCAAAAAGAGACATCACTGCTTCCAAAACCCAGAAAATAAAAACAATCAACCTTTCTGTAAATCAGCTTTCCCCTTAAGTTGCATTTTGTTTTGATGAAGGTGAAACTACTGTTGGCCATGGCTCTTTGTTTTTCAGTTCTGAAATTGACCGTTTCTCATGAGAGGAGCTGCCATTCCTTTGTGGTTTATATGTTTCATAAAAAAGTGAAAGCATATTCTCAGTCATATAATTGATACACAGTGCTTCTTGACATGTCTATATTTAATTAAAACATGTTTTAATTTAAAAGGGGGAGAGTAATTTTAGGAAGAAAAGCTCTGTGACAGATGGTGATTCCTAATTTACCTCAAATGTGTTGGGAGCCACATGATTCATTTTTGATTAGTGGGAGCGGGTGCCTTATAGAAAAGAATAATCTTGCTATGCAAAATAATTCTTCTGAGCTTCACTTTTGAGCTGGGCAACCATGTGAGTTTGAGCAAGTTTGGTTTCTTCCATTCCTCTTTAGTGGCCCCACACACGTGGATTCAGTAGCACAATGGAGAAGTTTTGGGTAGAAAGAAGAAAATGACTCTGATTTTCCCTCAGTGCATAAGACAGCTGGGTGGGTCACATTTTCACAGAGTTTGTAAAGAGATTCAGAATTGTTACTTGTAAGAAGACTTTGGAGTCAAATGTCACATGGGAGAGAGGATTCTGCACAGAATGGTGATGAGGGATTTCAATTGAGGGGGTAAGGCAAGTATTGGATTAGTTCTCCTATATCCTTTTCCTAATCATAGGATCAGAAATCTGGAACTAGAAAGGGCCTCAAAAGACTTCTAGTTCAATACCCTCATTTTACAGATATGGAAACTGAGACCCAGAGAGGTTTTGTGACTTAGGGTCAAATCTGGGCATAGGAAAACAGTCCAAACTAACGACAGAAATTTAAATCTCAACTGGGTTGGATCCCTGCCTATGAAATATACTGTAAGATTCTGGATAAGTCATTTAATTAAGCTTACACTATGTCTAGGCAATTCTATAAGGCTATAAATTGCAGAACAGGTTGCTAATCTTCATTGTCACAGGGAATTTCCTCACTTGAAATAGCCCATATTGATGAAATCGTAATCCCAGTTCAGAACATGAAAAAAACAAACAAACCCCTAAACTATAAGCAAGAACCATCATGCTTTTCAACATGCCCTTTATCCTTCAAAATCCAAATAGTATCTATCACAAACCCAGCAAAATGAAGAAAACCTAAAGAGATTTTTTCATAAGTATTTTATTGATGTTTTGGTGGTTTAGGTGTTCATTCCTAATTTAAAAGTAAACCAATATCGTTAAAAGAAAATTGTTTGACAGATATTTAACAAAGGTTAGGTCCTTTAATTTCTTTACAATATATAGAAATAAAGGCAATAATAGGGATAACGGGAAAAGATAAAAAGATAGAGAGAGGGAGGGAGGGAGAGAGCCAAGGAGAAAGAATGAGAGACAAAGACATACAGAGAGATTACAACCATAGACTCTGAACTGGTAGGAGATTCAGATCTCACTTTGTCCAGCTCATTCCTGAAAACAAAGTCCATCTATGATACAACCAAGTGACTTGATCTGCTGAGTTATCTACAGAGCTCTCTAATCTTTTTTTGTCTGTAAGAAACTTTAAAAAAATCAACAATATAGGAAATATAGATAGGTGTTTATTCATAATTTGAAAACATAGATTAGGACCAGAGGTACAACACATATTAGCTGCATTATTATTATTGTTATTATTATTATTTACCATTTTCATATAAATGTGTTTCGGTGATCCCAGAATGTCAGATATCTTTGAAATATCAGGTAACTGCCAAAATTTTTCTTTACTAATATTTCAAGATGAGTTACAAGATATAATAATCAAATTAGGGTCAAATCAGTACCAATAGCTGCTCCCTTACATTTCTGTCAAAGGCACCACCACCTAACCAGTCTCAGCTTTGTAGCCTCAGCACTGCCCTCAACTCTTCACTCTCCCTCACCACCTCACATGTCCAACCAGTTGCCAAACCTTGCTGTTTCTACATTTACCACATCTCTCACATCTGATCTCTTCTCTCCACTCACACAGATACCATCTTAGTTTAAATCCACATCAACTCTTGCCTAGGTTATTACAACAGTGTCTTAACTTAGCTTTCTTGCCTCAGCTCTCTCACAACTCCAGTCCATGCCATATATCATTTTCCTTAAACACAAATTTGAGTCATGTGACTCCCTTATTCAATTAACTCCAACGGCTGCCTATTACCCCTAGAAGAAAATGTGTATTCCACCTGGCTCTGTCTTTTCAGCCTCATTGGACATCACTCCCACTCTCTCACTCATGGATCTAGTCAAACTGGTGTTCTCTCTGTTCTTCACACAGGATACTCCATCTCCCACCTCCATATCTTTGCCCTGGCATCCCTCATTTCCACCTCACAGAGTCCCTCTCTTTAAGGTTCAGCTGAATAAATCTTTTCCTGATTCCTCTAACTACTAGCACCTGCCTTCCTAAACTACCTTGTATATTTACTTTATATTTATGCTTATGTATGTATGTATGTATTTATATAGGTACTTCTTGTCCCCTCCATTAAATAGTAGTTTCATTAAGAGAAAGAATTTCTTTTATTCTTTGTTAGGAATTAGTGCAGTATCTGACGCATATTAGGTGCTTAATAAATATTCATTGATTCATATAAATATAGCTGACATAGACAGATATACAGACATAAACATAGATATAGCTGATAAAGATGATATCAGGGACTTCCCAGTAAAATTTACACACACACACACACACACACACACACACACACTTTTTAAAACCAAATCTATGATTTCACCAGGCTGGGAATTTCCAGTGAGGAAATTCTTTCAACATATGTGGATCACTGTCTTCTTTGCAATAGAGAGTCTGAAAAAGTTGTCTCGACCAGTGAACGATTAAGTGATTTCTTCAGAGTCACAAAGATCATATGTAGCAGAGGCAGGTCTTGAACTTAGGTCTTCATGACTCCAAGCCCAGCTGTCTCCTTACTATATCATGATGCCTCTGTATTATTACTCAGTGATATAAACTACCTGTAGAAGTTGTAGCCTTTGCAAATCTTCATCTTCACCACCTCTAAGAGAATGTCGGTTTAATCTTTTTAAGACTCAGTCCTTTTTAGCCAAGTCCTCCAGATTCCCATGCCAATCTGTTGGCACTCCAGATGTAATGGGGACACAACAGAACTAGAAGGGACATACCAATTATGGAAATTTGTAGGGTGGGTAAGGGGAATGACAAAATTAAGTGTACTTGCCAGTATTTTATAACAGCAAGATCTTTGACAGATGCTGTTTCTATATGTCCGGATGTTAGTTAACATTAATCTTCCTAGAGAAACACTTTTATTTTAAAGATTTAAATGTATTTACACAAAGCCAGTGAAGACATGGCTCATTACCTTTACCAAAATGCCACTGATATGACATGGTTGTAATTTATAGATCTAACTTCTATTTTTTCTATTGTTTTATTTTGCATTGGCATGGCTTCTGAAGTGTTCAAATCTTTAAAATTTGCATTTCAAAGTAGCTATAAAATATGTATTCCATTGGAACACATTAGCATAAAGTGATTTGGTAT